AGTGTATATAATAATAGCAGTGTCAAGGGTATAACTGTCTTTTTGGCATACTGTTTTTTTGTGAGCACAAATGTTATTTTCAAGCAATTATTCTTTTCATAACATATGAATCCTTGGCACTAAATCCTTAGGATTTAATAATTAAACTTTTTTTCTTTCTTTCTTAAATGGTAAATATTTCTCTCTTCTTTTCATATTAGTTTTTACTTGTCTTTGTTTGTATAATTCTTGCTACTATTGTCGACCTGTTGGTATGTTTTGTCCAATGTGAAAATGTTCTTTTGTCAGTTGTTTAATAATTTCCTTGCACTGCCAGCTTCATATTTTTTTTTTTTTTTTCAGCATTTCACTGCAGCCATTGTTAAATGACATTTATTTTAATTTTCTATGTTTTGGAATTTGTAAAAATAAAGATAAAAGAGTTCATGTTTCATTCTAGCTTAAATCTTGCTCCCTTTGTGTACCAAATATAATTGTCAGTGCAATTATTTCCTTAAATTTTTTTCCCCTTTGCATGGTGCTTATTTAATACAGCATGCTTATTTTTCAAATCATTTTCTCTGCAGTACTATTATTTTGTTCTATGATTATTAAATTTATATAAAGATTCTCTGTGGAAGAATGTCTACTTGAATTGGCATGCTCATTTTATCTGTGGAATGTTCCCATGAGCATGACTATTCCAGACAGTATTTGTATTTGGGACAAAAAAACAAAAAGCATTTGAGATTTTCATACATATTCTGAAGTTCAGCTTTAACCCTTTTTCCTGCCAATTATTTTGGGAAAAACATTTCATTTTCAGACAAATTTTTTTTCATTTGTTTTTAATATAGTAACTAAGAAACTGGGCACCTTGAATTACCTGAATGTCCTGGGTATGACGATAAATTACATTTGGAAGTAAGGCCTTTGATTGGGAGGTTTTAAGAAGCGTTGAACTATCTCTTAATTGCTATTATTTGCAGGTCCACCCTGACTCGGGGTGGTAGCACCTGTTAGGGTCTCATCTATGGGCAAACGGGTCAAAACACTATGAAAGTATAGATTTTTTTTTTTTTTCAGCAATACATTTTTGGAAAGAAAAAAAAATGTTACCAGCAATACATTTGACTCTCAAGAAAAACCCTCTTTACAAAAATACATCAATGAAACTTGATTTACAAACTGATTTCTTATAAAGAATACATATTCTATTCATATGAACATATACTAAAAATCTTTGAGGTTGATATGTTATGAAACAAAATAAATCTAACCTTGAAGTACCCAAGCACTGACTAAAACCTCTACCAGACATACGAGTTAACAATTGAACTTGTTCCAAGCTCAAAAGGGCATAAAATGAATCAAGTTACATTTTTGGTAAAAATGTATATACACAATTACACATCTATGCCAGGGAAGGGGTTAATTTCTTTTTAAATTTAAAAAACTTTACATTTTACTTTTTATTTAATTTTTCAAAGTATTTTTATTGTATATTTTTATACCTTTTTTTAATAAAATAAATAAAAAGAAATTTTGATTTTTAATTTAAAAAAATATATACAGTGAAACCTCTCTTATTTGCTATAATCCATTTCAGAAAGTCATACAAAAAGTATGAAAATCAATGTAATTTTCATATAAAAAATAATGTAAATCCAATTAATCTGTTCCACACACTCAAAAATATTAACAAAAAATACATTTTATACAGAATAACTATAGTTTTACATACAGGAAACAATAAGAAATAAATATAAATGACAAATAGAATAAATGAATATTTAACTTCACTTTATCATTATTGAAGCCTCTTGTTGGTGTAAGTAAGACAGTGATGTGGGATAAGGGAGAAGAAGTTTTATTGTTTGGACTGGGAATCCCCATCCATAATTACATAAGGTAAATCTTTTTCTGGGCTTATTTCCCTTCTTTGTCTCTTTTGTGCCACTAGAACTTGAGGCATTAAACATGTTTTTATGACACGGCTTGCAACAGCTTTGTTAGGGTGATATTTTTCAACAAAATTTGCACTTCACTCCAGCTATGGGCAAACTAGGGTCAAAACACTATGAAATAAAATAAAATTTAAAATTTATCTTGTTTCATTTAATACCTGGTCATGATACCCTTAAACTTCTGCATGCCTCTTTGTGTTTATAAAAATAAAGGAATGTGCATGATGATCACTTGGTTCTGATTTGATAAATGGTGGAATCGTTATTAAATAAAGAAATAATTTCATTTGAATAATTGGTTGCTTATTAAATGACACTAACATTGTTGTTTTTTGTGTTTGCTTATTGTTATTGCTATTGGAATTACTAAAGCAGTTTATCTTTTACAACAGTCAGGAATATCTAATTGTTAACATAAATGACTTATACAGATTTGTCATTTGCTTTCAGATGCAGTGGCAGGATTTGAATGCATATCTAATGTATTAGACTATTTACATTCTACTCTTAGATGCTTTTATCATTTTTGTTATTTTACATATTTTTCTTACCATGAAAAATATTTTGTTGGTGTTGAAATATAGTATAAATTTGATGGCAAACTGATTTCTTTGATTGTTAATGTCTAAAATGTACAATATTGTAAGAAATGTCTTTGCCAATTGTCGCATTGATCTTTGTTGCTAAAAGTGCATTTTATTCATTGCACTATATTTATATATTTGCATTTTTTACATTGTTTGGACTGATGTCCTCATATTCACGACATGAGTTCAATACCTGGCCACAGCAGATATGAACAAAAACTTGAAGAGGCTAGTTACTAAAAGGAAATAACTGAAACTGAGATATCCAGAAAAGGCATGGCATGTGGAACTAGAATGATTTACTCTGGTGGATGAAATAAAAGATTTGGTTTGAAATTCCAATGTATATCACCTGAAGAAGGCCAGAATGTATAACAGCCAAAACGTCATGAATATGATAATAAAGATGAGGACAACAATCCGAATAATGTAAATTATGTAAATAGTTACAATACTTCATCTTAGAAATATAGACAGATATTTATATGTTTTAAAATTTTGATATTTTCAATTGAGCTGAGAAACTTTTATCCAAATTTTACCCAATGTATTTGACCATTTCCAAAATTTCTTCCTTTCCTGCTCTTGCAAATTTGAATATTTTACAATTATTTATGATTATTACAAAACTTGACATATATAGATATCATTTTATGCTCATATATTTTGATAGAACCAAACTCTGAGCTTCCACTCATCCTTAAAATGACATTCTTCAATGGTATTCTGGTATAGCTGTCTTTTGGCAACTCTCTTAACCAAATTATTATACCAGGCAGTGGTATAGTGTGTGGGGTGGGGGACAGAGGGGCAATTGCCCAGACTGCTAACATTTTAGGGGCAGTAAAATTTTAATTAGGTTGAGAAAATAATTATGAAACTAAAATTTATAACAGGTTCATGTCTAAGGAATAGACACAAAAGTTTAAATTGCCTCGAGCGCTCAAAACCCAGCCTGCACCACTGATACCAGGGATCCTTTTATTTTTGCAAAAAGGAAAACAAACAAAAAAAAAAAAAATAACAAAAATCAGCTGACACATGTTATTTTAGGAATGGAATAAAAGTTTAATTTATTTTGATCTAAATTCACTCCTGCTAAATCAATAGAATCCATTTGGTATGCTACGTAGGCTTCATGAATTTAAGTAAAGTACTAGATTGGTGGATAGGTCACATCAATTCTTAGTTGAATTGGTTAGATGTAAGTTCTATGCTAACAGTTTCTTTTCTCACACTTCTTACTTGTGGAACAGTCTCTTTTGGCTCTAGGCTTTCCACCATTTTTGATCTTCAAAAATCTAAATACAATGTCAATTGTTATCTACTGTCCTTTTTATTACTCTTCTATTGTTCTCGCTCCTTGATAATGTTTCTCTTATTCTTTCACACTCAGTAACCCCTTGTGGCTGTACTGCTTTGCATTGGGTGATTATGATTTAAAAGAAAAAAAAAAGCTAAAATGTTTTGTAAATTATTATTATTTGTGCTAGACCTTTCTCACATTTCCTCATTTCTTTTATAGAAGTTGTTAATTAAAAGACATCTTACAATTTGAATTTAATCCATCATGATTCCATGATAGACTGAAAAGAAACCTTATTACATAATTCATTTAATATCGAAACTACATTAAAAAACACAAATGAATAATCCTTTGACAAGTAATCAAAGGGTGTTTCATTAAGATGGATCAAAGTCAGCAGTAAATAAATCAGTGTTATTGGTGAAAATTTATTTCTCTATTGGATCATGTTATTTAAGTCAGGGCAATTATGTGTGAAAATAATATCACCCAAATGTCTGCCAAGGCTTCGGTGACATACCTCCACTCAAGGGTCAAAATTTTTGATAACATCTCTTCATAGTTGCTCCTCGATCTCACCAATATGGCTTATTATCTCCTCTTTCAGCTGTTGAATTGTTGTTGGCTTGTTGACATAGACCATACTTTTGAGATGACCCCAAGTCAAGTCGCACAATCATGCTAGCCAATTGATTTGTTTCAAGAGATGATGTGACCTGGGAATTTCTGTTTGAATGTTCATTTTCATAATAGGCTTTGATAACGTTGTTTGATAGTTAATCGTTCCATGGTTAAAATTGGCAAAGACAGTAGCAAAGTAGTTTAATCTGAAAGAAAAAGAAAAAAGATCATTAGATGCTTAAACTTAATTCACATTTAAAATCAGTCCAAATTATTGGACCACTCTTTATTAGGGGAGAGTTACACAGATAACTCCTAGACTTTAAATGCACAGGTTTTAAGATATTGGTCTTGAATAGGAAAATAATAAACTGAATCTTTTAAATATAAAATGTATATATTTTAATGTTTGTCATATAACATTGAAATGGTATTATTTATTTCCATTTATGAAAAATCTTTTTAGTAATGTAATGCCAAAGAGATAGATTTCAATCGATTGTAGAGTACAAGTTTCTAAAGTATTTCTTTTATGTACAGGCTTCAAAACCAAAAGCTGAAATTAGTCTTGATAGTTTGAATGCTGTGTTTGTACCTGTGAAAACTGAACAGCAGAATGGCCTTCAGATTACCTACAGTGATGAAGGCTCAACCCGATGTTTGTATGTCTACCATCATGATTCTAAGGTATGTAATTACAATGTAATCGCCAAGTTTTTTTTACCTCTCACATTTTTAATCCAAATATGAATCTGGTTTGTTTCAAATTTTGATTCAACCAAAGATTGTTTTATATCAATTTGATTGAAATCAAAATATGATCTCTTAATAAGAACGGACTTGATAGAATTACATTTTTGTAAAAGTTCTATGACAGTTTCTTCTCTCTCACTTTCACTTCTGGAACTTTTTCAGCTTCTTGCTTTCTGGCCAACTTAGATGTTCAAAAATTTAAATATAATGTCAATTATCTTCTGTCACTTTAATTTCTGTCCTTTTAATGTTCTCTCTATTTAATAATGTTTATTTTTTTTTTCCTCATATTCTTTCACCCACAGTACCTACTTGCATTTTAATGGCTTTATTGCCTTGCTTGGGGTGAGATTTTTTTTTTTTAATATTTTTAGTTTTTTTGTTTTTTTTTTTATTCATAGCATCATAATTAATTTATCAGAGTATTTTCTCTGATCTTAAGCACCCTTTCAGATAAATTAAGTCTACCATAATGAAGGAATTATTTTGATTTGATGAATTCTTCAGTATCTTGAAACTGTTGGAACCATTTACCAGGCTAATATTATGTAGTAATGAATAAAACAATTTATTGTTCAAAGTTAACAGTCCTTGTGAAAATACTGAATGCAGAAGAACTTCCCAACCCAGCTCTGTGACTTTTTGCTGCATCAGAGTACTAAGATGGCAGATGTTGTCATGTAGTAAAACCCTAAATTGACATATCCAAAAGTTTTTCCTACTTCATTATGTCTTGGAGAAATTCTGGTCTTAATTCTTCTTGAATAAGTTTTATGACAATAAAATATCCATAGAAATTCCCCTATTGCATCATTAAATATTTGTGCTTACCAACATTGACAAAATATTACAATAACAATCATAAATATGAATACTTGTCACTATTTAAAGAAGTAAAGGAGTACAAATGAAAAGATTTGGAATTGGCAATTTTTTCCCTTTCAGTGAAATAGATATTAAATACGTCTATCTTCCATTACATTCATTTTCTCACTGAAACCAAGTAGTGTCTTTGATATGTCTTTTCCGTCTTTACACACGATCAAAATGAAATAGTTCATTATTTATGAGGTATTGGCTAGGTGTAATGGTCGTGCTAAATAAGGAAAGGATAAACAGAATTATAATAATAAGAAATATTCTTATTGGACAATATGAAAATTTAATTTTCAGTAGCTGCTAGCAACAAAAATATTGGTTCATATATGAACATATTTACAACCTTTTAAGGATTAAGCTTCATTTTGTTGAAAATATTTGCTTTACTAATGAAATGACCCTTTTAATATAGATCCATCTTGCACATTTACAAATCTACCATTCAGCCGTGCATCAAATACTGTTGCCATATCTGGTCTGGTGCTTGTGTTATTCATCTTGACGTTCTTGACAAAATCCAAAGAAATATCTGCAATGTAATTGATCCTGACTTGATATCTCGATTTCAGTCACTTTCTCACAGACATGATGTGACTTCCCTCTGTCTTTTCTACAAATATTTTCATCACAACTGCTCGGACAAGCTTTTTTCCCTGATGCCCTGACTACATAAATTTAAGTGTGCAACTAGGTCCCACCCTTTTACTGTTGAAATAGTCAAATGCAACAGCCATTTCTACTCCAACAGTTTTTTTTTCTCACACTTCCCACCTGTGGTACTCTCTTCTGTTTAATTGATTCCTTGAAAACTACAATCTTCAAAAATTTAAATGCAATGTCAGTCTGTAACCCCCCTGCATACTGCATTGCTTGGGGCGAAATGATTAAAAAAAAAAAAAGAAGAAATAGACTCTTTTCTATTGTTGCTTTTAGAATTTTATAAAGTTTGAATAATTTCCCTTTTTTTTTTTCTTTTTCTTCTAGGAAATTGTTGACTGGTTTTTATCAATTCGGGCTTTGAAATTGGAGTGGCGGAAAATTGCTTTTCCTGACAAACATGTCTCTGATGTGAGTGATTTTTTTTTTTTTTTTTTTTTTTTTTTTCCCAGAGGATTTTACACAATTCTATTTTGTAATTTCTTAAATAAATACACTATGATGAGTATCTTTATTGAAAAGATTAACAAATTTGAAAGAGCAGAACAAGAATCCAGTTAGGTGTTTAGAAGACATTATCTGATGGCGTCATTTCTTTAGCTTGGAAATATCAATGCTTGGAGTTGCAGATGGTGTAATGGTTAATGGCTTGGAATTGTTAATCAGAGAGCCAAGTTCCAATTCCAGCTGGGTTTGTTATATTCACATGCACAAATACCACCTGTTCTCCCTTCCAGCTATGGGTTAATTAGTAAGACATATAACATTAAATCATTATCATCTCCTAAAAAAAAACATTCTCACAATCTAAAAATATTTTCTGGCTTTAAATAATTTGCAAAGGGCTGATAAACCTTAAAAAACAAATCGGTCAATGATTAGCTAGAAAGGCATGTCTTTTAGATTTGTTTAAATTCTCTGGAATATATATGTAGAGAAACTATAGTGGCCACAAAGTGAGGTATCAGTTTATGTATTGATTGTAATATAGTATTCAGCCCCCATTTTATATCTACATCATAATTTCTTCTTTGTTAATCAAATTCTGATTAGATATGAATCCACCTCTTCTTCCCCAACCTATAAGTTATTTTGTAAGACTTGTATCATTAAATCATTATTTCCTAAAAAAAAAAATTATATATCTTACAATCTGAAAATATATTCTGGCTTTAAATAACTTGGAAAGTGTTAAACCATAAAAAACAAATCAATCAATCAATTCATTTCTTGAGATGTTAATTTGGATAAAGTTCTTAATGAAAATTAAATTTCTTATTTTTGAACTGGTTAAAGTGCTCATGAAAATCTTGAGTTTAGAGGAGCACTTCACTAGAATAAAAATCTGACTATAACAACCAAGATGAAGACACTAGTTTAAACAATAGTTTCTCATCTCAAAAATTCAGATGATAAAAAAAAAAAAAATTGATGTTTTTAGTTTAACAAAAAATATTGGCAAAGTATAAATCATTTCCAAGATATCAACAACTCTAATTTCTGTGTCAACCAAATTATCTTAAAGAACAAGTATGTCTTTTCAGCTTTTTGTTGATTCATTCAATATGTATAATATATAAGAATGTAGTATACAAAGTTAAGCAACATTGAACCTGGTTAGTAGCTAGATGGGTGACCATTTGAGAATACCAGGCACTGTAAGCTTAGATGTATGGGTGGTGGAATGAATAACGGCTCAGAATTTTTAATCGGAGAACTGAATTTCAATTCCAGTTGGGTTTGTTATATTCACTTATGCACAAATAACCTTGGGAAAGGTATGAAGCCGCCTCTTCTCCCTTCAGATATGGGTTAATTAGTAAAACCATTATTATCTACAAAAAAAGTAAAAAAATTTTATACAAAATATTTAAATTTTGGCATTAAATAATACATAAAGGTTGATATGTTACTAAAAAAACAAAAACAATGAACTCATTTTTAAATTTTTATTGGATTTACCAATTGATTATTCCAATGTTTGCTCCCTTTGTAAATTAAGAATTATAAATAACTCAATTTGTTATGTTCAATGATGGCTATATATATATATATATATATATATATATATATATATATATATATATATATATATATATATATAATTGGTGTATATGGAATGAATTCAATAACCAACAATTACTATTCTTAAAAGAGTGTTCAATACAAAGTAGAGCAGATATAATTATTTAAAAAAAAAAAAAAAAATTATAACATAAATATGTTATAAAATCATTACAAAAATAGCCATTTTGTTTCAACACCCTCGGTGTCTTATCAAGTGATGATGTTGAATGTAAAATAAATGGTTTTAAAAGTTTCAAATTAATCATGTTATAATAGCTTTTCAGATCTTTAAAATATGGGTAATATTAAAAAAGAATTTATTCTAACCAATAATTATTAAATTATATGATAAAATTTGATATTAAAATTAAAAACTGCCAATTTTAAAAATCCAAATTTAATCACTATTAAGTTTAAAAACTATAAAATTGCTGAGGAGAAAAGAAGAAATACATATGTTATTCAATTTATTTCTTTGTTGAAATTACGTTAGAACAGAACGCTACAACATCCGGTCATCCGACTATACACGTATATACATTTTAATCCCAAGTGTGTGAATGGGGTCTTAAACTCACATGCAAAACAACACAAACACAATCAGATTATAATACATAAGCACCCAGACATATTTAAATATATATACACACAAAAAAGTGACGAGACCGGAACATCTCCACGTCCCTTTATGAAAAAAAAGGTGGGGGGGAACCAACACCCACATACATACACAATTAAAAGTGAATGCACTTTCTATACACATAGACAACGATAAATACATGTACACACATCCACAGACATTGACCTAGACAATCAGATACCACAACCAATAAATATTTAAGAAAGTATCATTTAACAAATGCTAGCCACTTACACATATATACATGCACCAATACACACATGAACATATATACACACATAGACTAACTACTGTGGCAGTAATGACATACCAAAGTTTCCATACCTACAAATACACACAAACAATCTCATATATAATAGGTGTCAACACACGCATATACAACACACGCATATAACATCCAGAAACATACATATATATACATTTATAAATATCTACAAATAAACTAAATAATAAATGTGATTTTATAGCAAATTTATGTTATAAATTTTTTTTTTTTTTTAAATAATTATATATATATATATATATATATATTGTCATTAGAATTGAATAACCATTTTTCTGGAATTTGAACCTTCATTTTTGTTATCTAATCATTATTTGGACACCATTTACAACATTACACACAAGGTGAGTAACTGAAACATCGTTAAGATATTTTGAAGTAGAATGGGTTCAAAAAAACTTATATATTATGACCTATTGTCAGTTTTGAACTTGATTCAGTACAAAAGATTATCTAAAAGAGATAAAATCATCCAATAATCTTAAAACACTAATCTGTATGTCTTGATATTGTTCAGTCCACATTTTCACAGATCAATCATTAAAAATGAGGCAAATTTAGATGTTTTTGTCACCCCCCCCCACCCAAAAAAACTGTGTCAAAAGGATGTTTTTCCATTGTCACCAATATTATTTTAACTACCTCCAAACCTTGGCAGTGTTTTGTTTTAAAAAGCAATTAGAATTGTGATAAAAAAAATTCTTGCAATCTAAAAATATTTTCTGGCTATTTAAACCTGCAAAGGGTTGATAAGCTGTAGAAAACAAATTAAACCCCTTTTGCTGTTAAAATAACTAAATGCACCCACCACTTCCACTGAAACAGTTTCTTTATTATTTTTTTTTTATTTTTTATTTTTTTTTTATTTTTTATTTTTTACTTTTTTTTGCATTTGTGGAACTCTTTTTCCATTTCCTTGCTTCTCTGATAACCACAATCTTCAAAAATTTAAATACAAATTCAATTGCCATCTTCTCTTTTACTCCCTGTAACCACCTGCATACTAGTGGCTTTGTTTCAGGTGAAACGATTAAAATAAAAGTTGTCACTATTAAAGCTCTAACAATTAGTGGACTTGATAAGTCTAATTTCATGAAAAAAAAAACTGTTTTAATAAATAGTTTTTATAATAAATTTCAACCAACAATAACACTAACTATTCAGTCAATGAATGTTTCAGGTATGGAAATCATTAATTTTAACATTACGACATAGTTAGTTTGGACTAATTTCCTCATCATTGGTGTTTTTGTTTTTTTTTTTGGTTTTTTTTTCTTTTTTTTTTTTTCTTTTTTTTTGCACAATGTAACCCTGACAAGTACATAACCAAAATATTGTGAAAAACAAAACAATAAAGATGAGGAAATTAATCCAAACCATGTTGGTGTTGTGTTATTTATTATTGGAAAATATTCTTGTAAGTTTGTAATTTTAATGTTTCTAGTTGCCTAAGCCAAATTTCATGAAGTAAACAACATGCTTGGATGTTGAGTCTTGTACCGTAAATGTTTTATGAAGTGATTTCTTTTTTATAGATTAGTTCATTTTTTTTTTTATTTTAACTTAAAATTCATTTTTTTTACCATTTTTCTATTCACATGGATTCACATTAGAGAAGTAGTAACTTTTACTATTGTGGGTAGTCGTAATTTTCTGTTTATATTTCCAAGATGAGGTATTGTAATTATTTACACTATTTACATTGTTCACACAGTTGTCCTCATCTTTTCTTGTCATGTTCCAACCGTTCTACACTCCGGCCTTCTTCAGGTGATTGGAATATTGAACCCAACCCTTTATTTCATTCACTGGGGGAAAAAGACTGTTCTAGTTCCACATGCCATGCCTCTTCCAGAGATCTCGGTATTGGTTATTTCCCTTTAACTCAACTCCTTTATTCTCAAGAACACATGTTGGGTGAAGTAATCCAGTGACTTGAGCCAAAGAGTTCTGAGTTCAATACCTGGCTACAGCAGAAGTGAACAAAAACTTGGAGAGTTGAGTTAAAGGCAACTAAGTGATACTCTGATGCAGAGCATACAATGGCTGAAACGTTGTGAATATGGCAACAAAGATGAAGACAACAGTCCAAATAGTGTAAATAGTCTTCATTTTGTGGGTAGTCTTATAGATACAAATAATCCATTCTGAATACTTGTGCATTCATTTGTTTGACTATTTTGAATATAACCAGAGAATAATAGCAAAGTGCTTCAAAAGAACCTCACTGCCAACAAATACAATCCAATTGTTTACATAGTAAATAATAATATGAGTATCATTTACAGCTGAAACATTCATGAAATTACATATCATTCTATGATTGTCTAATGGAGCAATTTCCAGCCAACTTTAATCTGCAAAAATTTAAATGCAATATCAATTACTATCTTCCTGATTACTCTTCTTTTGTTCTTGCTCCTTAGTAATATTTCTGTTTCTAACTCTTCCACACCCAGTAACCCTTTTGTCTCAGTGGCTTTACTACCTTACTTGAGGTGAAATTGATTTTAAAAAAAAATTAAGATTTTTTTTTTTTTTTTTTTACAATGATGTACAAGGCCCAAGAGCCGCTCAAGTTTACAGAGTAAGCGGCACAGTTTATGGGGATATGTGAGAAGATAGCAGTTGACCTTAGGTGTGAACAAATTAAGATTGTAGTGATTGTGGATGAGAATCTCCCAAGTGGATGCTTCCCCGATCACTACAGTCTTAACTGGTTGACCATAGACTTGACAGGTCAAGATTGTAGTAATGAAGGAAGCATCCTCATGGGACTTTCCCCAATCACTACAATCTTAACATGTTCAATCTTGGGTCAATTGTTATCTTTCCCACATATCCCCATAAACTGTGCCTCTTACTCTGTAACCCTCTACTTTAAGTGGTTCTTGGGCCTTGTACAGACTGAACATACCTGTAAAAAAAAAAATTGCTAAAATATTGTATGATATTTCTTGTTTAATTAAGGTTGTTTTGAAATGCCTCTTGAAAGTTTTCCTTGTTGATAAGAGTATTTAACTTTTCTTTTCTTTTTCTTATATTCTAGTTATGTGAAGATCTAACCAAGAACTTTATCAAAGAAGGTTGGCTTAGTAAGAAAGGTCCCAGAGATGAGCCTTTCCGGAAACGCTGGTTTACCCTGGACCGCAGAAAGCTTATGTATTTTGAAGGCCCACTTGTAAGTATTTGTTCATTTTCATAGCTTTCGTATTATATATATATATATATTTTTTTTTCAAACAGGTGAGCCATGAAGATGTAAGATTGCGTACAAGAACATTTTTTGTTTTTATTGTCAACAAAATTATTTTTCATTTTCTAAGAATTTAATGTTGCCCTTGTGGCTTATTTACTTGAAGATACTGAAAGGGTTAAAAGTATACAAATATTTCTTTATGCATATGACTAGCCATTCATATCTGATTATGCACATCTACTAGGGTGGCTAACCAATCCCTGTTGTAGATGCCTCTTCAGAGTCTGCGTATGTTTTATATTGTAACTGAGCAGACATTAGTTAGATTTTCTGGGAGAGATTGCATGATCTGGCAGAGCAACAATCTGAACAAGGCCAGTGTGCTTGTTGTAATCTAAGAAAAGGTTACTGAATAACAAAAATGAAGGTTGGAAATTGAACGATAATATTTATAACAGAAACAACATACAAGATTCGCCAACAGCATGTAGTAAGTAATCAACTGCTAGTGATGAGCAAGAAGTGAATCAAGGTGAATCTCAAGTGAAAGACAACATACAGTATATACCACTTTATTTATAGGAATTTGGACATACCCATTATCATCCATAAGTACAGTATAACCCCCCCCCTTTATGCATTTATTCTGTACAGAGTCAATATTTTTTTCTTTTGGGGTTGATTTTGATTCTTTCTGTATCCCTTCTTTTTCTCTTACTATGTCTTTTTCAGACTTCTGTCTCAGGAGCTTTCTGAGGGATGGGTACATTGAATATATCAAAAAGAACCTCCACTAGTTCAACCTTGTCTGGAGTATTGCTCTCTTCAGTTGAATACCTACTTTTTATTTGATTATTAGTGACTTTTTTGCACCATTTCCGGCCCTTTGACTAGATACACTATCCTGCCAATTCTTTGGACAATAGTTCTGACTTTCCAATATGTTTTATCTGGTAAAAAAAACCTTTTGACCAATTTTGTAAAATTTCTTTCCAGCTTTTCGTACCATATGATATTTTTTTTCTTATTGGGTATCATCTTGTCAAAAACTGATTGTATTTTCTATGCAAAACAGAATTTCTGCCAGAGTCATGGCCAAAGGTGCATTTCTATTTGGTGTAAGCCTATACACCTGTAAAAATTGCGGTAATGCTACATCTGTGCACCCATCGTGTGTGTGTGTTTTTTTTTTTTTTTTGTTAGAGCCCTTTTAAAGTTATCCACAAAATGCTTTGTCTGGCTGTTGCTTCTAGGATGGTAAGGGGGACATGTTATGTGCTCTACCACAAACATTTTGCAAAATTCCTTGAATTGCTTCGATGTAAATTGAGTGCCATTATCCAAAACAATAGAATCTGGTACTCTGAACCTTGTGAACAATTCACATAGAAACAGAATTATTACTTGCGTGATTGGTTTCTTACATCTGAATATCTCTGGCCACTTGGGAAAACTGTCTATGATGATCAGATAATATGTCCCATTAAGTGGACCTGCAAAGTCAATATGCAGACGTAATCATGAGCGGTCAGTTTCTGGCCATGGGTTGAACTTTATTGGTGGTGTTTTAGCTGCCAAAGCCAGCCTTTGCATGACTTTACCAAACATTCACTGTCTCTATCCATGCTACACCAGTATACGTAACTTCTCATCAAGCTTTTCATTCTAGATATACCAGGATGTCCTGCATGAAATTCTTCAAGATTCTCTTTTGCAATACCAAAGGTACCACTACTCTTTCACTGTACATGAGAACATCATCATACATTGAATATAATTAAATATATCTTGGATTTTGATTTACTCTTGTCTTTAAGTTTTTTATTTTTTTTCATTTCAATAATAAACTTGTCATCCAATGCTTTACTTTTTATTTCTTCCAACACCACGGGTAGTTCCTGCACAGTATTGCATAGTACATTTTTTTTATCTCTACTTCCAATTGTAGAGAAGCAATGACTATGTCTTCCAAAGGTTCACTAAAACTTGGAATAAGACTGGACAACCCGTCTGTGTGACTTAATTTACTTGATGGCAAGAATTCCATTCTAAAGTCGTAATTTAGTAAAATGGTTCCCCATCGTTGTAACCTATTAGCTGTATGAGTCGGTCTGTGATCTGTTTGTAAAGTAAACTTTGCCAGTGAATCTATGAAATTTTTTCAGGGTAAAGACAATCCCTAAACTTTTCGATCACAGAGTAATTTTTTTCATCTGGAAGAAGTGTCCTGGATGGGTGTGTAATAGATTTAATTAAGCCGTCTTCAAGTTTATGCATAATGCAGGCTCTTATACCATACGCATTAGTGTCGCTTGCTATGATTACTTCTTTTTTTTGGATCATAATATCTCAAAAACAAGTCTGACATTAGCATTTCTTTAATTTCTTCAAATGTTTCCTGGTACTCCATTGTCTAAACCCATTCAGTCTTTCTTCAATAGTTCATTTAACAGAGCTCACAAACAATGCATATTTGGCACAAATACATTATAATAACTTGCTAACCCCAGGAAACTTTGTAGGGAACTGACATTTTCAGAAGCAGGCATGTCTTTTATAGCACTGGCTCATGTTGGACCTGGTCTCCTACCCTTCTTGTCAATTATCTGACCTAAATATTTCATTTTGTCCATAAAAAGTTCACACTTTTTGTCCTTCAGCTTGAAACCAGTCCTGAATTCTTCTGAAAACTTCTGGGTTTTCACTTTTCAGCAAAATATCGTCAAAATAAGTGACTGCAAAGTCAAGTCCACTCAGCATCGTGTATCCCTTTTGACTTTTTCTTTATATATATGGTTGATGAAGCCCAATCACTATATTTCACATTTGATAAAACACCCATTTTTTTCAAGTCTATCAAGCTTTGTTTTAATGATGCAAATGATACATTCCTTTTCTTTTTGAAAACAGGTTGTACCTTTTTTTTAGCTTTCATTTTCTTGCACCAGCCTAACCCACATCTGGGAATTTAGTTTTTTAATTCTTCTTTTTAAACTTTTTGCTTCATTAGTAAAGCCTTTAATTTTTTGGCAGAATGAATTGATTGGGCTTTTCCATAAATTAAACTGCTCCATACAGTCCGTTCTAAAAAGGTTATTCATTATATTCATGACAAAAAGTCTTAACTTCAAGGTTTTATCGTTTAATGTCACATTTGTCATAAATTCCCCTTCAAATTTTACTTTTTGTCCTGCAACGTCAGTTCCAGTTTCCATAACTGTTATACTGCTCACACATTCAGCTGATTGTTGCAGACTTGTTTAATTGTCTGTGTGGGTGGCTAAAATATAAGAATAATTTGATAACATTTTTTAATTATTTGGTTGAACTATATTGATTTTTTTCCTTTATTTTGTTTAACATTGAAAAATGCTAAAAACATCTTACTAAACTTAGATAATCTGTGCTACAAAATTTTAATTAATTATAAAGTGGACAATTTAAAAGTATAAATAAATGTATATGTAGATATGTTAAAGCAGAGGAGAATGAAGAGCAAAGACCAGCAAAAAAAAAATTATTACTAACTGTAAAGTGATGGATTGAAAAATAAAACACCAAAAGAGGATTAACTAGTTATTGCTTCTTGCTCTTCAGAACTCAATCAAGGACAAAACATAAATATATGCACAATGACTAAAAAAACATGCTAGATCATAAGAATTGTATTATTATTAGATGAAGCCTTGTCAATTCTTATTCATTTTTCACTAGAATTTCTTTCATCTTCATTTCAATTGCTTTATTTCCACTAGTAGTATTAGTAGTAATATTATCTGGAATTTTATTATTATTATTAAATGAAGCCTTGTCAATTCTTATTCATTTTTCACTAGTATTTCTTTCATCTTCATTTCAATTGCTTTATTTCCACTAGTAGTATTAGTAGTAATATTATCTGGAATTTTATTATTATTATTAGATGAAGCCTTGTCAATTCTTATTCATTTTTCACTAGTATTTCTTTCATCTTCATTTCAATTGCTTTATTTCCACTAGTAGTATTAGTAGTAATATTATCTGGAATTTTATATTTACTTTATAATGAATTATAATAAATCTTCCTAAATTTATGAAAACAAAGAGTTGTGAATTCTTTGTTTATTTCTTTCTTTCAGAATGCTTATGCCAAAGGAGAGATCTTTATTGGATTCAAAGATAATAATTATTCTGTATCAGAAGGAAACATTGATGGACGTACAGCTCCTGGCTTTGGTTTTACACTAAAAACCCCTGAGCGAAATTTTTATCTGAGTGCAGATTCCAAACAAGAAATGGAAGAATGGATTATCGAGTTGACAAAAATCATTATTACTCCACTGACCACTCAAGATAACAAAAGTATGTATCTTAATATTTAATCAACTATCAATTTTACAGAAATTAAACTTTCTTATTTTCTCTATTAAATAACAATATTCGTCTTGACACAGGCTACAACAGGGTTCTATATAAATCTGGCAAAGAAGAAAAAGAATATTTAATCTTTATATGAATTTCTTTATCAAATCTTTTTGTAACTTGTAAGCTTTTGTCATTTTAGCATAACTTTTTTAAGTAGAATTACTAAAAACTTTTTTGTGAGAAATGGTCTTTTAAAAACTCAAGATCTGTAAAGATTTAAAAAACAAATGCTTTTCTTTTCCTGTTAGAAGAAAAAGAATAGACATTGCACATTGATTTTAATGGTAAATTAATTAGATTTTCATCTGTTTAATATAGTTCTAGTGTGTTTTGGTGAATAGTTGAATGAAGACTACTCTCACTGCTACTACTGTGTCACATTCTGCCACTTCTGTTTGGCTGAGAGCCAGAATGGATAAATGGTTGGCATTTGATTGATGTCAATAGTTCTTAATTTGGTGAGTCAGTCATTGTGAGACATAATAGAAGACAGGTTCAAGTAATCAGAAGTTTTTTGGGTTTTTTTAATGGTACCAATCATATATAAATAACATTAACAGGAAACAAGTGATATCCAGTCTATTCAGAGAACAGTTCATTACAACCTCCTCCACATAACAACTGGTGACCAAATAGACAGAAGAACACATATTTTGAGTCACATTCTAATGAAAGCTAAGCAAAGATATTTTGTTCATATTTCTTTAATATCTACTGATTGCTGTTTAACTTTCTGTTTATATAACCCATAATATCAAGAGATAAGTAAAACTTTCATTCCCTTTAATAATTACATACAACAAAGGTGAAAGGATTTTTGTAGTTGCACACACACACACACACACACACACACACACTTTACTGCTACTCTCATCTTTGCCTTAGACATTTTCGGCATTAAGAAAATAAAGATTTCTGTCAGTAGGGGAAACATGTATCTAAAATTTGTCTAGATAACTTTCAGAACACTTTGGTGTGCATGGCAATTCAAGAACTATATTAAAAACAAAGAGGAAGAAACAAAAAATGATAAAGAAAAAAATTATTACTCACTGTAAGGTAGTGGAACAAAAATATAAGAAAAAAAGAAACAACAAAAAAGTGCTAATTGTTTATCGCTCCTTGCTCTTCAGAGCTCAATCAAAGACAAAATATAAATATATGCACAACAAGTTACTCAAAAAAACAAAAAACTAAGAGGGAATGAAAGAAAAATTACTTGCAGAGAATCATCAGTATAAATCAAGAACAGATTACATTTAGGCCCAGCAACCATTCAGTCCATTTACAAAGACGAGGCTTCTTTGTCTCAGGCATTCTCAAATGGTAATCTGAATGTACTTTGCTGACTAATATAAATAAATTTTTGGTAAAATCAAGTGGTCAGGAATGGACGTAATCATTACTGACAGAATAGGACAGTTATATGCATAATGTAAATGCATTGCAAATTGATAAGAAAGGGATTGTTAGTGGTTAGAAATTAACGCAAGTATTACTGATCTTATATGGTGATTATATAGAAATACATTAGAAAGGGACTGTCAGTAATCAAGAATTAAGTATTACTGACAAAATATCTATATTTTTGAGATGAGGTATTGTAATTATTTACACTATTTACATTGTTCGAACTGTTTTCCTCATCTTCGTTGCCATATTCATGATGTTTCGGCCACTATACACTCTAGCTGTCTTCAAATAATTGGAATTTTGAACTGAACCCTTTATTTTCTCCACCAAGATAGATTGTTTTAGTTCTACATGCCATGCCTCTTATGGATGTCTCAGTACCAGTTATCGTCTTTTAATTCAACTCTCCAAGATTTTTGTTCACCTCTACTGTAGCCAGGAATTGAACTCTCAACTCTTTGGGCCAAGTTACTGAATTACTTCAACCAACCCTTTTAGCCACTAGGCCATGTGTCCTTGAGGACATCCAGAAAAGGCACAGCACGTGGAACTAGAACAATCTACCCCAGTGGATGAAATAAAGGATTCAGTTCAAAATTCCAATCACCTGAAGAAGGTTGGAGTGTACAACAGCCAAAATGTCATGAATATGGCAATGAAGATAAGGGCAACAGTCCAAACAATGTAAATATTGTAAATAATTACAATACCTCATCTCAAAAATATAGACAGGAATACTAAAAATAGTGTGATGTAAATAGCGTAAATAAAATATCTGTTTAACATTTGTTTTGTAATGAATGTCTTGTGTTAAATAGAGAACCTCAAATATATTAATTGTGATTGAATTTGATAATTATTTTTTTGATTGATTCTTTGTTTTACTATTTCAGTTTGTGCATCTATGGTGAACAAACGTCCACATACTATTTATCACATCATGAAGAGATGAGGTTGTGATCACAATGTGCCAAGTATCAGTTAAAATAAACCTGGTATAAAATCTAGAAAATCACAATGGCAACTTTTAAATCGGTATGTGTTTTTGGTATGTATGCTAAATTACAAGGATCTTCTTTCTGGATGACGGAAGATTAATCAATAAGGAATGTGTTTTTGTTGTCCCCCCCCCCTCTTCTCACCACTGCCTATTCTCATATTCTTGTTACAAATGGCAGTTGCATCTTTTTGGTTTTGATTTAATTAATAGTTTTAAAACTGTCTTCATTACAACACTTCTGTTGGTGAATATTGTCTACTAGTTTATAGCTTTCTAACTGGCTACTTGGACTGGTTGCTATCAGTGGATATAGGTCTTTGGGTTATGTCCATTTATTTTTGAATCACTTGTAAAATTAAAACAAATTTAAGAACTGTTCTAGTGATAATCTACTGAAAATTGCTTTTTCAATTTACTCAATAAGACAAGTGCATCAACTAGGAATTTATGCACATTGATAATTAATGTTGGGGTAAAAACTACTCAGCTCTAGTTAAAACCTGGTGAAGGCATTTAAACTTTCGATACCCAACTGCAACCAGTCTTCAAAATCCCTCATCCTTAAGTGGTATCATTATTATTATTATTATTATGCAAATTGTTGGTCAAATGTAATAGCCTTATAACTTATATTCATAGACTATAATATTAAGTTTTAATCTACAGGACAAATTCTATTTTCTGTAATTTGATATTGGAAGTAATATTTCAAGATGTTTTAAACTTGAATATTTTTGTGAGCCTTAATACTTTGGTGTTAAGGCTAAAAGGAATTGTTTAATAAAATTTTACTACTGAGTAACTTAATTTTGTCATAATATTCTTAAGGAGTACAATCATTTTTATCAAATTTTTATTGTCTCTTGTAACAAAAGCAACTTAAAAATAATCAATGGCCAACATGTTTGGAGATTCTTTTAAAATAAAAATCGTGACGCTAAAATAAAAATTCGATCATGGTCATTGCAAAGTTATATTTAATCAATTATGGCAAAAATAATGAAACTGTTGTAAATAGAAGTAATTTTAGTATCTATAATACAAGCTCCTTCAAGGTTTTTTTTTTTTTTTGCTTTGGTCTATTTTTTATAATTACATGTTGACAATCTCGGATTTTACTTAAATAGTTAAAAAAAAAAAAAAAAAAATGAAATTACTCCAGTCATGAGAGTTGGATAATATTTCAAATGTGATTATAACAAATGATTTAAGTTGAATAATCTTAAACGCCTGCATATTAAAAGGCGAAAATGGAAATTTCAATTCCTTTTAAATTGAAATTTTGAACAAAAAAAAATCTTTATATGAAAGTTGATTAAATTTTAGTGTAATCTTTTGCCTTTAAAAACCAAGCTACTTAGATCGTGAATGAAATATAATCACTTTTTATTAATTCAATGTTTTTACTGTGATTTTGGCTAAAATGAATTTTAAACTTCTTTCTTACTAAAAGGTGATGATAAATAATTGCTTTCTTTGGAAACCAACAACCTCTCGGAATTATTTACAAATAACATTTATCATAGAAAAATAGTTAATGTCTATTTTGCATTTATCCTAAAATTATTACTATTTATGATAATAGACCTCGTAATGATTGTATGAATATTTAAAAATTACAAATTATTTTATAATTTAAGTTTCCATGCCTTGATTCTACTTTGCATGACTGAAATGTATTTCAGACAATTTGCCGAAAGAAAGTTTCATCTTGCAATCTAAAAAGATAAACAGAATGTTTTTTTTATTTTGATAAAATCAAATTGTGATATTTAAAATCTCAAATTTTGGGAAGTACATTCCGTATGTTTGAAAATAGTAAGGATGCTCTGTTTTATCATTGTTTGTGTTGTCACGTATATCATCATCAGTTGTCTTAGAATTGGTTTAGGAAAATTTAAATGCCTGTTTAATGCCCTTGTTTCTTTTTTTATTTTCTTAATTTTTAAGTTTTTACAAATATTGAGAAATTACAACTTTGTAAGAAATGTTTATCGTTTTATTAATTTTAAAAAGAAATGGACACTTTTATTACAACATTTTCTTTTATTGAAAAGGAAACCTGGTTCTATATTTCAATGGGGGATATTTTTTTGTGTATTTGCAGATATAGAAAATCATTTCTATCTTTTAAAAATGAAATACTCTAGAAAGTATAAAATTTCTTATAGAAAGTCTACTGTTGAAACCATTTAACTTGTAAGTTTTGTGTTTGTTTTTTGGTGTGGGGAGTTAAAGCTACTTCAATATTTTTCACGGTGAATTGAATGCAGTTTCAAACTTGTATTTTCTTTTAACTATTTCTAATTTTTAATGTCAGCTACATGCCTAAGTGGCATATGTGCAGACAAAGGTGTGTGGTATGACTCTTTAAATAAGCCACCAACAACAACAACAATTAAAAATTTGCATATACAGGGCATCCCCCCCAAAATATACTCAATCTTTAAATGACAATAAATGCAGTGTTTATTGACTTGCAAACAAAATTAGTGATTAAAATTAAGAAATATTAATGTTTATTGACTTACAAAGAAGAGTAACAATTTAAATTAGATATTAAATGAAATTTAAGCATTCTACTAGATTGGATCTAGGCCCCACCCATTTACTGTTGAAATAGCTAACTGCAACTCCTACTTCAACAGTTTCTTTATCCACTCTTCCCGCTTGTGGAATTCCCTTCCGTTTACTTGCTTCTCTGATAAATACAATCTCCAGAAGTTTAAATGCAATGTCAGTTGCCATCATCTATTTTCTTGAATCTTGTTCCTCTTTTGTCCTTTCTTCAATCTTCCCTTTCACTCTCTATAACCCCCTGTGTACTAGTGGCATTCCCACCTTGCTTGGGGTAAAATAATTAAAAAAAAAAAACAAAAAAAAAACATTAAAAGCATCAGTCTGAAAAAAAGAAAGAAATTATTGGAAGTCAAAAAGTAAGTATATTTTTGTGGATGCCCTGTATATTAAAAGGTAGTAATATTTAATATTATCAAAAAAAAATATTCTGAAAGAGTTGTTTCTCACTGGTTTTCTAGTGGTTGTGACATTTTTAAAAATACCATTGAATATTCTTTTCTTCCTCTGAAATACAAATGCACTGCCATTGACTCATCGCAAGTGTCATGTTTCCACGTTTTAGTCTTTTTTTTTTTTTAATTGTATATTTCAAGATTGGATTTTTTTTTCTTTTTCTTTTTTTTTTTTTTCAGTTCGAAATCTTTTTATTATTGTACAAAATAAAAATGATGTGATATTGTAACATTTTATTTTTTTTATCAATGCTGAAATCTTGTTCAGTTACACATCTGTGTCTTAGTATCAATGGGCCTTTCTCTTTTAGTTTGTTCTTTACATTAACGGAACTTCATAATTTTGTCTCTTAATCACGTTATAAATCTTATAGAGAAACCCATATGTATGTCTGCATGTAAGATAAATAACATTTTATTAAAGTGCATTGTACATGTTAGTTGCTAGTTCCATATTATTTCATTAAATTTTGTCTTGCAGTTTTTTTTTTAAATTTAAATTTTTTTTTTTTCTCAAGGACAGTAAATATGAGCAAAAATATTAAAAACTACCAAGCTCAATATCCATCTATATTTCTGAGATGAGATATTGGGACTATTTACATCGTTCGAACTGTTGTCCTCATCGTAGTGTTGCTGCTGTTGTACACTCCAGCCTTATTCAGGTGATTGGAATTTCGAGCCAAACCCTTTATTTTGTCCACTGGGGTAGATTGTTCCATTTACCCAAGAACACAATGCCCAGTGGATAAATGTGTTGATTGAAGTAATCCAGTGACTTGACCCAATGAGTTGTGAGTTCAATACCTGGCCACAGCAAAGGTGAACAAAACTTGGAGAGTTGAGTTACAAGAGAGAAACAACTGATACTTAGATATCCAGAAGAAGCATGGCATGTGAAACTAGAACAATCTACTCCGGTGGATCAAATGAAGGGTTCAGTTTGAAATTCCAATCACCTGAAGAAGGCCAGAGCATACAATGGCCAAAACATTTTGAATATGGCAACAAAGATGCGTACAACAGTCTGAATGATGTAAATAGTGTAAATACTACTAAAATCAATCAAATGTATTTTAATTTTATATTTCTCTGATGCAGTTTCAATATTAGAACTTTTTCATACTGTTTTTAAAAACATTTTCATAATTTTTCATTTTTATTATTATCATGATTATTTTTATGATCTTGGAATGATTTAATTAAGAAATCCATGCATGATTTTATTTTATTTTTTTTTGTTTTGTTTTGTTTTGTTTTTTTAAATGAACTTGATGTGAATTTTATTTTATCTTTGATCAGCACTTTTAAATTTAGGCTTTTTACTTCTAAGCCAGACATTTATGGATATCTCATTGTGAAGTTACTAGCCTTGTAATGATATAAAGTATTTTTTTATTAATTTATATTTAGATTTAAAAAAAAAAAACTACTAAAATGTTTATGAAGTGTTAATAATTCTGTTTTTTATTGGTATATTTTAATAGTAATTTCTATCTTGTCAGCTATAGACTTTTATTGTTAATTTATTTTTATATCTCTTGTGTAACTTATAGAAAGATGAAAAAGTAATAGTATTTTCAAAAGTAATATAGTTTTTAAAATTCACTTCAAGAAAATCCAAATTGTTGATATCAACCTTTTGGTACTGGGTGATTGTTTTGTTTTGTATCTTTTCATTTAACTAACAGTATTAAACGATTTTTTATTGCTAACTATTGATTCGTTTTTTTTTACTATGTACTTTGATTTCTTACTTTATAGACATTTAATAGTAATTGTTAAACACAGTTGTCTTATATACTCTAATGTTTTTGCTTGGAGAAAATAAAATGGTTGTGTATAAGAAAAAAATCAATTACACTTTTAAAAATGGGATCTGATATCTAGCCATTTAATTAGACTTAATATACACTTTTA